GTGGTCTTTCTTGAAATCTATTTTGTATGTCTCATATTAAAAATATGAATTTATAGTAAAAAAATATCCTTATTGATCTAGTCATCACTACGTGTGAAAAGGTTTGATCACGGTCAATGTCATGAGTATGATGAGGACCATAGTCAATGACATGAGTATGAGAAAATCCTTTTACTATAAGTCTTGCTTTAAATGTGTATGCTTATCTATGTAAAGTTTTCTTCATAGAAGAGTTATTTACTCCTTCTAGCCTTGCTATAGGGATAGAATTTAATTAAGCCCATACTTGATTCTCATACAAGGATTGCATCTCATGTTCATGACTCTAAGTCATTTATCAGATTCAAGATCTGACATAGCATCTTGGTATTTGATAGATTTTCTAGAAACCATCAATAAAAGCTCATCAATGAGAGATTCCACTTTTCTCAAGTCATTGATGATTTCTACCACTAATGCGAACAATTTGTGTTTGTGAATAGCTATTATTCAAGTTTAACAATCCTTGTTAAAACTAGTACCAACTATTACTACATAAGGTTATGGTTCTTAAGCTGTTTCAAGTTCCATGTACCTTCCACTTGCTTTGTCATTAGAAGCTGACTTTCTAGTAACTTAGCTTTCACAAGAATAAGTGAACCTATTCTTATTGGGTTTGCATATTACAATCTAAGCCACATTTAGAGTATTATAAAAATATGTATTTAGTAGATTTTGGGTTTAGAAGCTTTAGTCCAACATAGGCTTGATATCCATAATAAATTAAGTAAGATGAGGATGGAGCCTTTCCTTACTTAATCTTATAAAATGTTTAATATACTTATTAGTTGGTATTTGTATCAAGATACAATTAATAGTGATTGAAATATTATCCCAAAAAGATTAAAGAATGATATTTCTACCGATTAGAAAGTAAATCATATCAAGTAAGATTTAATTCATCATTTATGATCATTAAGGCCTTAGATGGTTATTACTGGTTCGTATCTCAACTTTTGAAACCTTCAACCAAGATTTCATAATTACGTTTTACGATGTAAAATATAATTGAAACTACTATAGTTATTAACAAAGTTTATTTGTTATATTGCGCTTAATCTCAAACATTCATTAGAAAGGAAGTCATACACCAAAGTGTACAATTCCTTAATTATTTTGTCTACACTTTAGTGAAAATATCATTAGGAATCCTTTACATATAAATAAGGTTCGCATATGTCAAATAAACTACATTATTTGTCTTCAAAGATCCCTTTCTTGAAGTTGGAATATGTGAATGTCATTTATATAATAAAGATAACAATGTCAAAGATGAGTTTGACTTAAAACAATTTTAAGTCAAAAAGTGTTTGCATATAGAACTTAATTTTATTTATGAAATGTTGATATTTACTTCACAACTCTATTAAGAGATCTAGTCTCATAAATAAAAGTTAATCATTTCAGAATATGAATATTATCGTTATGAATAACGATTGAGTAAATTATCAAACATTTGAATAAAATAATTGAAACATAAATTTAGACATGTTAAATTAAAACATACTTTGTTACAAAACAAATATTGTTTTATATTACAAATAATTTATGTTCTAAGCATAAATAACAAACTAAACTCTAAGAGTGTAGTTCCAACTTGAGTGTGCTCAGCTTGGTTACTTTTCAACAAATATTTGCAAGCCATTTACAAATATTAGATTAACATTTAAGTACCAAATACATAAGTGTTATATGAAAATATGAGTTCTATCTAGTAGATACAAGAAGTACTAGTCACTTCCAGACTTTCTTTCCAAATAAGAGGAGGAAATCCTCTTCCAATGTCCAGTTTCTTCACAAAAGAAACAAGATCCATCTATGTGGGCTTTAGTAGATTTCTTTGGCCTAAAGGTGTTCAGTCCATAAAACATGAGCCTCTTAGATCACACAATGTGATTCTTTTAGCCTTGCATTATTCCAATGTTTTAAACAAGCTTTAAATAAAATATCACTGTATTTATTGGAATATTGCTTCACCTGTTATATCATCAGATATATGTTTAAATTATCCAAGACTTCTTAGAAGTCATGAATAACTATTCCTAGCTTGATGTTAGAAACATGTTAAGCATCACAGTGATGCCTTTACTAGGTATCATGTTCAAGTTTAATTGCTCAAAGCAAATAGTTTAGGACTAGGACCCTTAAGTGTATACAATTTCATATCTCTCATGATATTGTCTCTTAAGACATGAACTCATTCATTGAAGTTGTATCTATTGAATGTTATTATTTCATTTAAGTCATTTAAGAAAATGACAATTCATGATAATGATAATGGATTATTCAGCTACAAAATTTTAACAAAATTCATTTAGTATTTTCAATATTTAATCTTTAATAATTAATACCATTTTAGATTCCAAAAACATTAATTATTAAAGTTTAGGATCCAAGTTGCAAAACGAATAAATGGTTAGGTATCATTTATCTTATCCATTTGAATTCAACTCGGTAGATATCTATTATCTATTATCAATTATATCTTGCTATATAATTCCTAGATTTATGGGATCATTAATAACAAATTTAATTAGACATGTTTGATCCCATCTATGCCTCAGAACTCTCTTGCTTAGGCATCCTTTATCACAAAATATTTCTGATCAAATCGTCTAATTTGAAAAACCTGTGTAATCGTCCTATAACTTTGTTATAGAAATCACAACCATCAAAAGATAATACTAAGCGGATAGGTATCATTTATCCCACTAGTTCATACAAGAGATGTGCGAGTGTTTTTCAAAAGGATTGAATAGATTTGAGGTTTGTAAAAAGGGTCTTTATATGTTTTATAATTCTAGTTTAAAAAACATATGATATCATGGTTATTAAATGCATATAATAAACAATGGTATCAATTTTCAAAAGAAAATGACTTTTAAAAGTTCTATATAAAAAACTAGTTTTTATATAATTTGACACAATTTAATTTTGATAACCGGTATTAAGTTTGAATGCATTTGAACCTTTTATATCTTTAATAAAACTTCCTTTTATTACTTATATATTTGGAATTTATATAAGTTATAAAAATCATCATTTTAAAACTTATAATGGAATATTTCAAAATTTGCCGTTATTAACGATTTAATAAAATTGGGTTTTATTTTAAAATAATAATTTTTTACATCTTATGTTCAATTTTGAAAACCCAAACTCCATGTGATGTTTATTTTGTCCAAAATTATTTTTAGCCTGTGAAAAACCAATTTATCAACCACACAAAATAATGCATAAAATTAACAACACAAACATGTATAAAAAGATATGTCCAGAAAAATAACCAACTAATTACATTTTTGGGAGCCAACACAAAAATGTCAAGTTCATTCCTAAAGAGACATATAAGGGGACCAAAAGCTTCTTGTAATGTTGTTGTAGAAGCTCCCACTTGAGTAAATATCTATTGCTTACAAAGATTGGAAAAACTTCTTAAAGGCTAAAATTCAGCAATTGTCGCTAAAAGCCAATAACCCTTTGTGAACAACATCAGTGACACTTTTCAGAAAATGTCACTAAAAATCTCGCACACCTTTTAGACTTGAAAATAGCTCTTTTGTCTTCAAAAAATGGTTCCAACTTGATTTCTTGTTACCTTTTTTACAAATAACTTAATTCTAAAAACTAATCTATTACTTTACAAAAATAACCAAGAAAAGCTAATATGTTTAATTATTACATACCATATGAATAAATAAATTATTACAACCATTTGATAACAAAAATAAACAACACAACATCATAACAACACATTGATTATTGGTTAGTTTATGCACATCATATACATCAATATACACATCAAACAACTTTTGTTTTTCTAAGACAACTTTAAATGACAAAAGATGCATGAAACTTTTGTCACATAAAATAACAAAAAGTTGTCATAAAATATGTATGAACTTATTTTTGTACAAAAACAAGTTATTCATATTCTCCAAAAACTAAGATTTCCAAAAATCAAAAAATCTAATCAAACTTGCAAGATGACTCTAATACCAATTGTTGGGTTTTAGTTTAAAAATAATTTCATAAATCCAAACATTTTCTGAAAACTTAATTTTTTTTTTTATGTAATTAGCCGTAATAATTACCCACAAAACCTTCTCCTTGTTTTTGTTCATGGAGAAACAAATAAGAAATATCATAACTTTGGTTTCTTCAAAACCACAACCACAATCGTTGTTTGACTATTTACACAAAAAGAAAACTTCTCAAACAATGAAAAGGGACTTGTCTCACTCACAACAAGAAACATGTTAAAAAGAATAAAATAGTAAGATTGTTTGTTTCCTATTGAAGGAAAGAACCTAAAATTTCGTTGTTGTATTTTTTTTTTTGGTAAACTTTAATTTATAAATCAAAAGATTTTTTTTTTCGCTCTTTCTAAACAAAAAATAAAACTTGTTTTTTTATAAACAAGATCAAAGTAACTTTTCAATATATAAAAACCTAGTTAATATTTTATAAAACTAGAAGCCATTATTTTATGAAAATAGTTATCTTCTATAAATGATTTATCCACTTCAATATTTCGAAATATATTGGAAAATGAGTCATTTGAGATTATTATGATAAATAGGTTGTTTGAAAAAACACCATATTTTATTATTTAAACCTTAAATAATAATCTACATTTTGATGTTTTTGCATGCTTTACGAGGTGATCACTTGTTGTCACGTTATATCTCGCATTTGATATCAAAATAATGATCAATTTGTTGACGTAACAAAAAAGGAAATAAATAAATAAATAAATAAACTTGTTATTTATGGTGTAAAAAAATACTCACTTCATCATGACCTTCTAAGAGACAATTAGATGTCATGGTGTATTTTTTTTTTCAAAATATTATGCTTTTAACAGAAAAAATATAAACCCTCTCACTTACCATAAACTCAGACTTGTCCTCTTGCCTTGTGCAGCTCTCACTCTTGACACCCTCAGAACTTCTGTCAATATGAGTAAACAGAGCAAAGTCAGCAGCAATGGATCATTCCGATCCATTTTCATGCATGCCGACGCTGCCGACATGTTTCTGATGGCTCTTGGTTTCTTAGGTGCCGTCGGCGATGGAATTGTGGTGCCGACGACGCTTTATATCACCAGCACCATCATGAACAACATCGGCGACTCCCCTTCTTTTTCCCCTCATGTCTTAGCTGACGAAATCAACAAGGTCAATATCACATTAATAATATACTCTATTAATTAATTATCGTCCAAGAACTAACTCTGTTTTAATTTCATGTTTACAGAATGCAGTATATCTTTGTTTCATGGCTATCGGAAAATGGATAGCATGTTTTCTTGGTAGGTTCCGCTCCATTTGCATTTCCTTTCATTCCTATCAAATCAGAGATAAATATACACAACATAAAATTCATGAGTTTTGTTGCAGAGGGGTATTGCTGGGCAAGAACAGCAGAGAGGCAAGCATCAAGATTGAGGTCGGATTATTTGAAAGCGGTTTTAAGGCAAGAAGTGGCGTATTTCGACTTGAATGTTACAAGCACAGCTGAAATCATTACAAGTGTTTCCAATGATAGTCTCGTAATTCAAGAAGTCATCAGCGAAAAGGTACGTTCTCCATGGTGATTCACTCAAAAAGGTTTGATTTAAAATGTAATTTTATGGGAAGCAAATTTACAAAAATGCAGGTGCCAATGTTTGTGATGTATGTGTCGCTTTTTGCTGGAGCTTATGTTGTGGCTTTTATGATGCTATGGAGGCTAGCGATTGTTGCGCTTCCATTTGTTATTGTTTTAGTTATACCTGGTTTGATTTATGGAAGGGTTCTGATGAGGTTATCAAGAAAGATCAGGGAGGAGTATAATAAGGCTGGTGTGGTGGCAGAACAAGCGATATCTTCCGTGAGGACTGTTTATTCATTTGTGGGTGAAAATAAGACGATAACAGAGTACTCTGATGCTCTTGAAGGAAGTGTGAAGTTGGGATTAAAGCAGGGATTGGCTAAAGGAATAGCGATTGGCAGCAATGGTGTGTCTTATGCAATCTGGTCTTTCTTGTGTTGGTATGGTAGTAGGATGGTGATGTACCATGGCGCAAGAGGAGGAACCGTGTTTGCTGTCGGAGCTCTCATCACCCTTGGTGGAATGTAAGTTTCTTAGTTTCCTCTTCTTCCATGGTAAAATTAAAGTTTGTTTCTCTCCTCTCTAACAATATTCTATTTTTTAGTTTTTTCACCAACTATACTTCATATTTTATGCAAAATGCATATTCCAATTATATTCAATTTTTAAGATAATCTATTGTAAACCAGTTTTAACTTTTGTATACTCACTAACCTTATTTTTGTGTTCGATATACATTAAACTTTGTTTAAATTGTTCAAAAATACCATATAACCGGATATAATGGGTTTTTGTCAATTTCTAGCTATCTTTGATGTTTCTGGTTCTCAGGCAAAGCATGGATTTTTGGCATGAGTTTTCCGGCCATCTTTGATTTCTCAGGCAAAGCACGGATTTTCAGGAGAATTTCTAAAAGTCTTTACGAAATCGAAACGCTTTTTGAAAATGAATTTGTGGATGTGTGAGGTCCTGAGTTTTTGAGAATCAAAACCCTTTCTTGAGTTCCTGAAGTTGATATCTTGATATTGCTCTTGATTACCCTAAGTTCAATTTCTAGATCTTGATGAACACATGAAACAAGAAACCAGTTTGATTTCCAGATTGTTCTTGAGATCTTGAAAAACCCTAATGAAAAACTCTAAGTCATAATGTTCTTGAGATCTCAATTTTTCGTTCCATACCTTGAAAAATCATGTTCAATTTCAAGAAAAATAGAAAAAATAGAAATGTGTAAAACCCTAGGTTACGTTTAGTTACGGAAAAATAATTTTCATTGGAAAATTTAGAAAACACATTTAGTTAAAACCTATTCATTTTTCATTTTTAGTTTTAGAAAATTAGAAAATGTTTTTAGATATGTATTTTTCTATTGGTTTTTATTTTTAGAAAACGGTAGCGGTGGTAGGTTGGGGGTGGGGATGGCGGCAAGGGCAGTAGTGGTGTCGATGATGGTGACGGTGGTGGTGATGGCGGCGGCGACAGTGGGGTGGCAGTGGTGGTCGTGATGACAGGCGGTGGTGGTGGTGGCGGCAATTATGGTAGTGGTAGTGATGGCAGTGGCGGTGGCAGTGGTGCTAGTGTTGGTGAGGGAGTAGTGGTGGTAGTGGTGATGGTGATGTTTGGTCGTTGATTGTGGTAGCAGTGTTGTGTGTGTGTGTGTGTGTTTGTGGAGGGTAGTGGTGGGTGTGGGTGTAGGTTTGTGGGGGTAGGGATAGGTGTGTGTTTGTGTGTTGTAGGGGTGTGGGGGTGGATAAAGGTGGGGTGGGTATATGTGCCTATGTTTGTAGGGGTGTGTGTGTTTGTAAGGGAGTGTTTGTGGGTGGGGGTGCGCTTAGGAGTGGGAGTGGGTGTGTATGGGTTGGGGGTGTTAAGGTGGTGGTAGGTAGACGTGGATGGGGGATGAGTGGATGTGTGTTTATATTTTAGAAAAATTTTGGAATTAGAAAAATGTAGAAAACAATTATTATTGGTTTTCCAAAAACTTCCAACTTCTTTGTAATTTTAAAAAACGAAATTTTCTCATTTTCCGTGAAAAATTTAGAAAAATAGACGAACTAAAAGTGTTTTCAAAAATCTTATTTTTCTTAGTAAATTTTTCCGGAAAACGGCCTATTTTTCCGCAACAAAACGCAACCCTAAGTCCGCTAGAAAATCAATGCTTAACCCGATAAGATGACCAGCAACTTCAAAGATGGTCGGAAAACTCATATTCTGTCGGAAAAGATAGCAAAACCCATTATCCTATTCATATTTGGGTTTTTTTTTTGAACAATTTCAACAAATTCAATAGTATTTCGAACACAAAAATAAATTTAATGATTAAATATGTACAAAAGCTAAGTTGATTACCCTTTATGTACATTACCTTTTTTCCCTAGCACTTTAAGATTTTAACAAATAATCCTTCTATTTCCAAACAATTTAAGTTCGATGGCCATTTGCACCCTTTTATTATATTTTGATGTGAAAAATAAAGATGTATTTGAGATGGTTTTATGGGTGTGATACCTTATTTACAATTTTACATTACACTTGCATATCATTTTGGTATAAAATATGGATTTTAAGAATAACCTAATAAATTCAATAATGACAGATCATTAGGTTCTGGATTATCGGACTTGAGGTACTTCACGGATGCAATGGTTGCTAGTGAGCGTATAAGAGAAGTGATCAAAAGAGTTCCAGAAATTGATTCATACAACATGGAAGGAGAGATATTACAACAAGTCTCTGGAGAAGTGGAATTCAAGAACATAAAGTTTGCGTACCCATCAAGGCCGGAATCGGTGATATTCAAAGACTTCAACTTAAAAGTTCCAGCAGGGAAGGCGGTGGCGTTGGTAGGTGGGAGTGGATCTGGTAAATCCACTGTGATTGCATTGTTGCAGAGGTTTTATGATCCTCAAGGTGGAGAGATTTGTGTAGATGGGGTGAGAATTGACAAGCTCCAACTAAAATGGCTAAGATCACAAATGGGGTTGGTGAGCCAGGAGCCTGCTTTATTTGCGACATCCATTAAAGATAACATACTTTTTGGCAAAGAAGATGCCACCATGGAAGAAGTCATTGAAGCTTCCAAAGCTGCAAATGCTCATAACTTCATCTCTCAGTTGCCTCATACCTATGACACCCAGGTATTTTTCATCCTTCCATCAAAACACACACAATGATACAAATATCAAAATAATATGAGCACTAATTTGGAAAGTAATTTAAATTTCAAACTTAAAAATTTGGTTTAGGAAAAAGTTTTACTATTGTATATAGATATGTTATGGTTTTGAATGTTAGGGGAATAGTTCTCTTATTGTGGATGTTATAAGTTATTTTTCATATTTGTTATAAAGAATAGGTGGGTGAAAGAGGAATTCAGATGTCGGGTGGGCAAAAGCAAAGAATTGCAATTGCCCGTGCAATAATCAAGTCACCTCGTATCCTTCTGTTGGACGAGGCCACAAGCGCACTCGACTCAGAATCAGAACGAGTAGTTCAGGATGCTCTTGACCGTGTTTCTGTTAGTCGAACAACCATCGTCATAGCTCATCGTCTTTCCACAATCAAAAACGCGAACATTATAGTAGTGGTCCAAAATGGCCAGGTAGTCGAGTCTGGCTCCCATGATCACCTCATTCAACTTGAAAACGGGTTCTACAAATCCCTAATTCGTCTCCAAGAAACTAAACAAAATGATGAACCCTATAATCCTTGCCCACCTGGACCTTTATCAGTCTCTTCAACATACGATGTCCATAAAACCAACGACATGGTTAGCCTTTTGAGTTCTGCAAATACAGCCAACCACGGTGGAGTAAACAACTTAAGCTCACAGGTTAACAAAGTATTTCCCGTGCCATCCTTCAAGAGACTATTAGCAATGAACATGCCTGAATATAGGCAAGCACTGTGTGGAAGCATGGCTGCAATTCTATTTGGTGCAGTTCAGCCAGTTTATTCTTTCGGATTAGGGTCGATGATTTCGGTATACTTCTTGGTCGATCATGATGAGATGAAGCACAAAACGATGATTTATTCACTGTGTTTTGCTGGTCTGGCAATTTTCACGATGGTTATCAACATCATTCAACATTATAGTTTTGCAACCATGGGTGAGTACTTGACGAAGAGGGTTCGGGAAAAGATGTTGTCAAAGATACTCTCCTTTGAAATCGGGTGGTTCGATCAGGATGAAAATGCAACAGGAGCCATATGTTCGAGGCTTGCTAAAGATGCCAGTGTGGTATGTATTTTGTGATTATATTTATTTTACATTAAGCATTCCTAACCCAACTCTATAAATAAAGCAAATCTATCGAATGAGTAAACAATAGAGTACATATTCTCTAATCCAAGTTTATTTTTACCTATAAAGATAGAGTTATGAATAGTACACTATTAATATAGCTTAAATTTATTTAACTTGTTTAATTTGGAGTATATATATTTTGATATTTTAAATATAATGATTCTTTCAAATGTATTTGAAATTTGTTTGTTTATATATATATTTAGTAATATAAGTTATAGAGTTAATATAACAAAATTGTTTTATAAAAATTTATTAAAACCTTGTAATTGAAAAGTTATCTAGGAAAATTAAAAAAACTTGGATAGAAAAATATATTTGGAAAAAAAAAAGTTGGTTATAGATGAATAACTTTATATTATACTCTACAAAATGTATACAAAATTTAAAGTATAGTCGGCGTTTTTAAAAATGCAAAGAGAACCTTGCATAAAACGAGACTGACTTGTAAATAAAATGTGTTAAAGCACTATGGTTTTGTTTGTGTCAAGTCAATTTTTATTCTATTATATATAGGTTGTCAGTTTTTATTAGAACATTTTTTTTCTTAGAGTAAATGATAGAGCGAGTATGTCAACAATGATTTTGTAGGTGAGATCTTTGGTGGGTGATCGATGCGCACTTTTGATTCAGACGTCCTCTGCTGTGACGGTTGCTTTCACATTGGGTTTGGTGATCTCGTGGAGACTAGCATTAGTTATGATTGCTGTTCAACCGATTGTAATTATGTGCTTCTATAGCAAAAGAGTTTTGTTAAAGAACATGTCACAAATAGCCACGAAAGCACAAGAAGAAAGCAGCAAGCTTGCAGCCGAAGCTGTCTCGAATCTACGTAGTGTCACTGCCTTTTCATCACAAACACGAATCCTCAAAATGCTCCAAGAGACCCAAAAAGCACCAATACACGAAAGCATCAGGCAAGCTTGGTATGCTGGATTTGGGCTTGCCTTTTCTCAAAGCCTTATGCCATGTATGTGGGCTCTAGACTTTTGGTACGCTGGGATATTAATTTGTGATGGTCAACTTGGTGCCAAAGCACTTTTCCAGACATATATTATCTTGGTAAACACCGGCAAGGTGATTGCGGATGCCGGGACCATGACAAATGATTTAGCCAAAGGGACTGATGCGGTGCAGTCTGTGTTTGCGGTTTTGGACCGTCACACCTTGATAGAGCCTGAAGATCTTGATGGTGAGATGCCTAAGATCATTACAGGCTCCATAGAGATACGTGATGTGGACTTTGCATATCCTTCTCGGCCTGACATCATGATCCTTACAGGATTCTCAATTGATATTGAAGCCGGGAAATCAACTGCATTGGTGGGACAAAGTGGGTCCGGGAAATCGACCGTTATCGGGCTTATTGAGCGTTTTTACGACCCAATGAAAGGAGTTGTGAAAATCGATGGAAGAGATATAAGGTCGTACCATTTAAGAAGTTTGAGGAAATATATCGCACTTGTGAGCCAAGAGCCTGCGTTATTCGCTGGTACTATTCGTGAAAACATCATATACGGGGCTTCTGGGGAAATTAGTGAATCGGAAGTCATTGAGGCTGCTAAAGCAGCCAATGCTCATGATTTCATAGCGGTTCTGAAAGACGGATATGACACACAGTGCGGTGACCGAGGGGTACAACTCTCTGGAGGACAAAAACAACGTGTTGCTATAGCCCGTGCCATATTGAAAAACCCAATAATTTTGTTACTAGACGAAGCTACGAGTGCATTAGATAGTCAATCAGAGAAAGTAGTGCAAGATGCATTAGAGCAAATGATGGTGGGGAGGACTAGTGTGGTGGTGGCCCACCGGTTGAGTACCATACAAAGTTGCAACACCATCGCGGTTTTGGAGAAAGGGAAGGTGGTCGAGAAAGGTAATCATAGTTCATTGTTAGCGAAAGGGCCAACTGGAGCTTACTATTCGTTAGTTGGTCTTCAAAAGCCTAATTCTGCTAATCGTATGACTAACTAAAACTAAGTGTGAACTAGGAAACTTCAAGCTCCTGCTTGGAAGATTGCAACTATTGAAGTAAAACAATTTTGACGTGTTTTGTGACATTTGAGGATGTTATATACTTGTTAGAAAGGTTTGAAATGCAGATCATTAGTAAGGTCGAAATAAAAATAGTTGATGTATATGTAACTCAAAATACGCCAAATAATCCTACTTGATCGTTTTACCATATGAATGTTTTGAAATCCATATGACTTCAATACACACATACATAGGTGATAATATTCTAGCCAAATTCCATTACTTAAAGGTTATTATTGTGTACTCAATAAATTGTTTCGATGCACACATACTTAGGTACTGAGGACTTTAGAACAACATAACTTTGATATATATTTATATTTATGATTTGTATTGAGGACTTTTGAATAACTTAACTTTAATTCAACAAGGTCCATGTTATACTTCAAAGAAAGTTTTAAAAGTCTTTTTGGATTTTGCTCATATTTACTAAAAATCTACTTGATTAGTATCAGTATATAGGTTTGTAATGATTTTGGGTTTCCTTGATTTATGAAAGATTCTTTTGGAAAAATCATAATTATTATCACTATCAGGCAACTAATTTATATACCTAAGTAATCAAACTAAATAGTTAAGATGTAAAGGCTTGCTATTTGTTTTTCATCTTAATTCCTCCTTACTTATAAATTAATCTAAGTTGTGAATGCACTTTAATTTTTCTTGATGAAATAATGTGCATAATTTTAAGGTTATTATCGGTGTGGTGGTGTATATCTTGCAAGGTTATTATCGGTGTGGTGGTGTATATCTTGCAATGATAAAGTTTCAAGAAGCACTCAAGGACTTTCAGTAGGTTTGTATTGGTTTCTATATATCATTTCATTAAGACTGCTAATGGTTTAAATAATTCTCACTTGACTATTGACACACATGGATAGAAAATGTCTTGAATTGATTTTGTGAGTAAAAAGAAGTATATTGCTTGTAACCCCCGGTTTTTCTCAAGTTTTAAATAATTGTTTATTGCATGAAAGCCCATTACACTAAGCATAATGGATAGTTACATTGGGCGTAATTCATTTAATTTGATCGCGGATCCCATCTAGTATGATGTGTGTATGTATAAGTATGCTTAGCGTACGCAGAATGCAAAACCCTAAATTGTAGGGTTTGGACCGTATTTAAACACCTTATGACCTCAAGGCCTCTCTAATCACCAACCTCCTTTGTCCCAAAACAGTCCCCTAAACCGTAGCCCCATTTCAGAGAGTATTAAGCATTTTGAATGATTTTGTGTGTTTTTGGTACATATTGAAGAAGGATGAGCTCATTGGAGAAGCATTGGTTGGTACATATTGAAGAATGATTTTGTGTGTTTTTGGACTTTGACTTTGGGCCCTTAAGAGTGAGCTGAGGAACCTCATACACGGGGCGTACATTGCTATGTATGCTCAACGTACTCAGGAAAAGGAATCGCGGAATCTATGCACGTACGCCCAGTATACCAAGAGTACGCCCAATGTACGTGTGCAGATCGTTAAACCCTGAAATTAGAGTTTTCTCCCTATATAAAGAACATAACCCCTGTTGGTTCAGCATCCCTTCACTCTTACCCATCCACCATGAAAACCCTAGCTCCTTTTGTGTGCCTTTGTGTTCTAGAAGCCATTTGAGAGTGTTTATGTGTTGTTTTAGTGAGAAAAGAAGAAAGGAGCTTGAAGAAGAAGCAAAGATCCACCAAGAGCTTGTAGATCCAGCTGATTGACACCATTTCTCACTTATTTGAGGTATCAAGCTCCATACTTGACCATTATATGCTTAGATTTGTTTATTTGGGGGGGGGGGGGGTTATGTCCTTTTTGGACCCATTGTTACGAGTGTTTGAGTATTGTTGGTTCCAGAGCTTAAAAGTTGCCCTTTTGGACACTTGGAAGCACCTAAGGTCATAAAAACCGGATCTTGGTGGTTAAGCCAAAACCATGCAAGGGTTAGATGGTCTTAAAGTTGGTATAATGGACCAAAATCATGTTTTGACCCCAACCATCCATGCAAGCACCTAAAGTTTGTAACTTTACAGATTGGGAGGCCTTAAAGGACTTGGATCTACATTTTGGACGTAAAGAATTAATGGATTAAGTCAGAAGTGATGTCCTAATGAAACTGGGTAATACGATAAGCGTAAACCATGGTACGTTGCGTGTACTGGCGTGGTTCACGGTCAGTTACCATTTACGGTCAACCCCCGTTTACGGCCAAGAGTGCGATAGGCGTACTTGCTAGGTACGTCGTGCGTACATGTGCATGTGCAGAATGGAAACCATGGGCTTTTGGGCCTTAAGGATTTGGGTATGGGCTTGGGGCCCTGTGGCCCACTGAGAAGTATCAGTCTAGACTTAGAAATCTGGAACTAGAGAATTAGGCCTATTAAGCCAAGATTGGACCCTTGGAGTTGTTACCTTTGCACTTGGAGCTTTTGGGCCCAATTAAGGGGATGGGGCCCAATTCAGGAATTAGGCAATTAGTGGGCCTTAAGGAGTCTTTAATAGGCCAATGGAGGGCTGGGCTTAATAGATTAGAACTGGGACTCCTGAATATCCCAATTGGTCCAAGGGGTAAAATAGTCATTTTACCCTAAGTTGTGTTATAGACTCTGATCGGGTGTTAATGTGTTTATGTTAGCCGGGAGTCATCAGAGCAACTGTTAGAGACTACTTTCTATGAGATTCAACATGCAGTTTTCAAGGTGAGTTACCTTCCAATAGAAGTTGGTCTAAGGCACCAAGGCCGACTCACTAGTAGTTGATTACAGTTGAGATGATTGTCTTTGTGACAATTGTCTGGTTTGCTATTACCTGATGTGTTCTATGTGTTAGTATGTTATGTTATGTTCTATTTGATAGTGGTAGTAGGAGGGGAATAGTCCCCCGATCAGTTCTTAGGACCGAAGGGTAAGTCGGACACCCCAGATATGTCTGACAGCATGTTTATGATATTTTATTATGTGATAGTAGTAGGGGGTGAAATAGTCCACGTGACCAGGTGAGATAGCGCGAAGGATAGGCAGGAGACCCAAAACGGCCTGATACGGGTAGTCAGCACCCCAGAACGGCATGACACGGGTAGTCAGCACCCCAGAATGGCTTGACATGGGTAGGTCGGGCACCCCATAATTGTCCGACATTATGTATGATTGTATGGTATGTGGTATGATGGGGGAACTCACTAAGCTTCATGCTTACAGTTTTTAGTTTTGGTTTCAGGTACCTCTTTAGCTAAGGGGAATAAGTTGACAGGGTAGCAGCGCATCGCACACATACGATTCCGTATTTTAGAATTCTAGGATTGTACTCTGACATTATTACCATCTGACACTATGGGATTTGAGACATGTAACTATGGTTTATGTGTAATATCATCAATGTTTTCCTCAACAAAGTTTTATAAGCATTATAATTAAAACAAAAAAAAATGGTCTTGATTTTTGGGATGTTACAAGTTGGTATCAAAGCCTTGGTTTGAGGGATTCGGGCACACCTTCGGGGGGTGTCTGAACTCAAATCGAGGGCTTGAAGGATTTTTACAAGAAAAATAGTTTTCTAAAATTTAAAATAAGGAGTTTTGAGAAAGAACAAGGTGTGTGATGTGTGCGACCGACCGAGCTCAAGTAACTTTTCCCCAAGATACCCATACATGTTATATTATGTTATATGGTGTGATTATGAGAACTGCATGCTAGACTAGGGCTAAGGATCTAGGGAGGATTTCTTGTATGCCTGTTATGTGATTATGAGAACTACATGATAGAATATGGCTAAGGATCTAGGAAGGATTCCTTATATGCCTATTGTAGGAGTTTATTGAGCTATATGCTAGGGTTGGTTAGACCGCAGTACAATAGCCTGATTAGGTTATGCTTGGTAATGGTTACTCAATGCATGAATGCTACTTGCTTTGTGCTGATAGGGATTCCGGCTAGCTTTAACTAACTAGTAAGCGGATATGTAATAGTATATACAAGCTAGTTAGGGAAAGATAGTAAGGACTCCTTATGCAACTGATGGCGGAGAGTAGGTCGAAGAGTGCCCTAGGACAAGCCTAGGATGAGATTAGTTGGAAAGTTGTATTAGTAAAAAGGGACTTGGTGAAGTCAATTCAATTCTTGAGGAAAGTACGAATAGATGTGGAAGGTAGTATGGGCCCATACTACTTGAAGCAGAGGATCCGTACTCGAATCAAGGAGGGAAGAGAAAGAACCGAGAAACTTGGAGAGTGTGTGAGACCTCTTGAGAGTATGTATGACCCTGACGTTTATGTGTCTTATATCAGAATGGTGGTTACACGTCATGGAGCAGGAGGTTCAGGGTCTGGATCGGGATCAGGATCGGGCTCGGGTGCAGGATTCGAGCAGGTTGATGATAGGCTACGCAAGTTCATCGCGTTTGAGATCACGAGAGGTATTTTTGAGTCGACCCTGATTATTTTTGGATCGATCAAGGAAGGGGTTATCGAGCTGATGGAGGATCGCCTCCTGGTATTCAAGAGTGAATTGGTGTCTAGCCAGTTAGGGACACACATACTGCCCTTCAAGGACTTCAGGGGGAGTGGTGTGCTAGTTTATCATGGGGCGAAGGACCCCATTGCTGCCAGGAGATGGATCACAAACATTAAGTCTGCACAATTGACGAGCTTCTGCCCAGTGGGTTCGAAGGTCTGCTTTGTTGTAGGATGTCTGAGAGATAGAGCGAGGCATTGGTGGGAGTCAGTCAGTGACTCACCAGGAGCCCCAACCATCGAGGCTATGACTTGGTTAGATTTCGTGACCAGGTTCAAAGCTGAGTTTGCACCAGCTGTGGAGCTTCAGCAGCTGGCCAGGGAGTTTCTTGATATGAGGCAGACTACTGAGACAGTGGTAGAGATAATTGTCAAGTTTCGAGAGAGGGCCTTGTTGGTACCTTAGTATGCAGGGGATGAGGAGATGTGGAAGACCCGTTATCATGACATGTTGAGGGCAGTTTCTTGGGCACCTTATCAACCAGAACGAGATTTCGGTAGATCTGGCCAAAGTAGAGGCCGTGATGAGATGGGAGGTTCCGAGGTCTCCATCTGAGATTCGGAGTTTCCTAGGATTAGCCGGCTACCATCGGAGATTCATCCGAGATTTCTCCAAGATAGTCGTACCCCTGACCAGGCTAACGAGGAAAGTCGTGGTCTTTCGTTGGGGACCTGGGCAACATGCTG